ATTTATACATTGAGATCTTATCCCCTAAGATTGAGGTCTTATGTTAAAATGATCTTAATCACAACAGAAAAGACAGAATCCAAATTCCATCATATCCAAGACTCCTAGAAGCTCAGTGACTAAAATTTCTGAAGTCTAAAGTCTTCATAATCCACATGCAAAAAATTTGAATGTTGAAGCCTCAAGCTGAAAAGCTGCCACGAGTGAAAAACAATGTCAAGTGAAAGGGAACGAATTCAAAATATAAAAAATGGATTATCCAAAAGGTTCAACATTAAAAAGAAAAATTCAGTAAAATTCAGTAAAAAGAAAATTCATGATTCAGCCTGGCTTTGGTGGCTCATGCCTAGAGGCAGAGCCAGGCTTATTAAAGTGAGTGGAACTCTAGCTGGTCTACAGAGGGAGTTCCTAGACATCTGGGTCTGTTACACAAAGACAGTCTGTCTTGAAAAACAAAAAACAAAACAAAACAGCAACCAAACAAAAGCCTGATTTGCCTGCACTGATATTCATTACATTTTATGATAATCTGGATTTTAATAAAATAAAGCAATATTGGTCAGAAAATTATTCCTATGAATTTATTTGTTTTCATGAGTATAATAAACCTACTACTGGCCTGGTGTGTTGGTTCAGGCCTTTAATGCCAACACTTGGGTTGCAGAGGTTCATGAATCTCAGTGAGTTCCAGGCCAGTCTGGTTTACAAGAAGAGTTCCACTACCGGCAAGACTGTTACACAGAGGAAACCATGTGTGGAGAAACAAAACAAAACAAACAGACAAAACAATGAAAATAAAACATACCAATGTGTGTCCCTGCATTTCCTTCCTTTTTGAGAATAGCAGTGGTTACAATTCAGGGTACCCACTGGAATGGCTGCAAAATGCCAGTGAGTTTTAATCCCTTGCACACATCCTTAAATTCCAACACTAAGTCAACAAAGGCTGGTGGATCTCTGATTTGAAGCCAGCCTGAGCCACAGAGACACAAGTCTCTCAAAACAACACTAATTAGGAAAGGAAACTAAAGGAATGTTTGAAGTAGTGTGGTAGCCTTACAACCCCAGATGTAAGGAGCAGAAGCACAGGATTGGAGTGTAAGGTCATCCACAATTAGTGAGTTTGGGAAAAGACTTGGCTACAGGAAGACATGTTTTGTTGTTGCTACAACAAAAACAAAGATATAAACAAATAATCAAAGTGAAATAAAAGGGAAGAAGGACAAAAAAGAGAAAATCAAAACACCCATTCCTTTGACCACACAGCTTTAATTCCCACCCAGATCACAGTCTTCACATTATGTCTATAGACCTCATGTTTTCACAAAAGAAAATACATGCTGCACACTCTCCCAACAGAGACGGCCTGCTTCAGCCTCTGTCTTTTCTGTTTTATACATCAGACACCTCCTGGGTGCCTCCTGCCCTCTGTCTCATTCTAGTGCCAATGGATCACAACATTGAAGAAAACTGATTTGACCTCTCTTAGCAGCTATCAGTCATAAGTAGCTTCTAGACTGAAGGTGGAAATTTACCCATTTTGATCAAAAGTACATTCATTATGCAAGGAAGAAGGAAAGAATGAACACACGAAAGAAGGAAAGAGTGAGGAAATGAAGAAAAGATAACATTTTTACCACCGTAAGGTATTATTGATTACATTTGGGATCTTGTAGAATTAATTAGGTTTTCACAGGAAGGAATAAATTCCATTCTCCCACTAGTTGTAAAGACTCTGCCTTTCTTCCTAAAAGTCTTTTCAAGTCTCATTTCTAATCTCTCTTGTTCAGGCCAACTGTTCCTGTGGGTTTCTCCAACCTGGTACA